GGATGTGGCTACGGCGACAAATTATGGACTTTTCTGTCCTAGATATGGGTTTTAACCACAAATTTCTTCCATCTCGCAAAAACTGCGGTAGACCTACAAGACAATGTGTCTGGTCAACTCCTTCTAAAACCTGTACCGGTACACATCTTCCTCTTTAAGGCCTGTTTTTGTTTATCTCTAATTTCATATGTTGGAAGCAAACAAAAAAAACTGAATGAGGAAAGTTACGACTATTGCTTCCTATCTCTGTTTTGAGTATTACATAAGGCATGTTTTGTCAGAAAAAAACAAGCAAAAAACCAAAACAAAACAACAACAACAAAACGAGAACAACGACAAAACAACCCCATAAACTATAATCGGCCTTTTATATTGTTTTACACAAAATTCCCTTTGTTTAATGACCTTCTAGATAGTTTTTATTCCTCTTTATTTTAAGAGTTCGAGCCTTACTTCAGAAAATTCGTTTTAAAAGAAATGAGATGTAGTAGTTGGACGTATCGACTTAGCGCGTGCAGAAGTCCTAAATTCCATTCTCCTGTGAGGACGTTGTAGCATATCTAACTCAGCGCAGGTTAAAGACAGGGTCTAAGCCCGCGTTCTATATGATCTACATAGCGTCAATGAGTGCTTAAATTTACTGACTAAGTTACTTACTCTCTCCCTATACCGTCAGGTACATAAGGCGGAGAGCAGTCGACGCCACGCTCGTCTGTCTCTGGCCATGTCCTCCAGTTTCGGCAAATCCAGGCCTGGGTGATTGCCGCATCCCTTATTGTGCCTCAAAAGATGCCAGTTGGTTTTCCTCGGTTTTCTTTCCATTCGGTTTCCAATACTTTGCCTGATAGAGAAATCTTGTCTTCTGAGACTGTAAAGCATCATTCTATTAAAATGATGAAGCATTGCGGCCGAAAGCGGAAACGAAAGGAGACAACAGAACATTGCTAGAGAGCAGGAAAGGAGGTAAAAGGAGACAATTTTAGAGAAGAAAATGTTTCGGTCGCTACCCGGATTCGAACCCAGAACCTTTGAATGAGAGGCCAACACCTTAACCTCTAGGCCACGAGAGCCCCCAAAGTTAGACCTAAGGCCACGATGTTTCTCATTATTAAGAAAAAATGTTGTTCGGGAAAAAAGCCTGCCTTTCAGTTTTATCAAAGCTGTAAATAATATAAATTCTGTTGAGCAAATTCAGGAAAATGCATTCATTTGAAATCAGCACTATTAGTGAAAGCGGAAATAATGAATGCATTTCCTTGTCATGGTTCAGCCAGATGTTCAATTCATCACAAGTTCATAGGTCTATGTTCTACATGCTCAGAGGCTTCTTGGGTAAACCATTTGCGCGCGCACACACACACACACACACAAACACACACACACACACACACACACACACACACACACATACACACAAACAAACATCCATCTCTCTCACTTTCTGTCTGTCTTTCTCTCTGTCTCTCTTTTTCTCTCTCTTCTCCTTTTTTTCTTTCTTCTCCTTTTTTCTTTCTTCTCCTTTCTCTGTTTCTCACTCACTCTCTCCAACTTCAAGGTTCTCAATCTGTTTCTCCTATTTTCCTCACCATTTCCCTTTTCTCTCTCCATTCCGGCTTATTTTTCCCAAACTGTACTTCTTTGGTACCTGTCGCACCTTTCAGATTCGCAAAACGTGGTATTCAGAGACAAAATGATAGTTAGGTCAAGAACATACAAGAATAGAATGGTAGTATCTAGATCTATATGATATGTACCCGGTACAATGAGAATATTGTGCGGAAAACATCAATATTCAAAATATTACTTTCACTACTAAGTTGAATTTTTGTTTGATATTTAGTCTGCATTATGTTGCTCTAAGTGTTGATTATATCTGCCATTCGTCGTATTTAAACTGTTTTATTAGGACATTCTCTAAATATATAATTTAGTGAGCGACATTAACGGACCTCAATTTACTATCTTTCAATATTTATATATGGCCTAAAAAGTCTCTTGATTACTTTTAATATAATCCATTATGAAATTAGTCGTATTTCTCAGGCATTTGCCTCCTATTTACCTCCATGTTCCTGTGTTTAAACACATTGTCTACCTGTAGGAGCAAGAATTTTTGTTTTTCGAGGTTTTGGCAAAACTTTGTTTGAAACAGAAAGAACAAATAGCAGTTAAAAATGATCTGAACACTTTTTGTATGACACTAAAGCTTAAATGTATTTCCTCTGTAGGCCTTTCGTAATTAAAAAAAAAAAAGTTGTTAAAACAAACACTAAAAAGCCGAGATAACCAAAGGCCTATTTTTCAAAGTTTTGTTTTATGAGGTGGTGGGAGGATTTGTGTCTCTGTATTCATTTGTATTTTTTTAGGGGGGAGGGGTGTAATATTTGGACTACAGATCTATCTATACCTCCGTTTGCTACTCCAAATCTTACGTGATGCTGTCTTCAACGACCTGCGACAAGATTAATGAGATACCGTTACACTCTTATGTTTTCAACGAATGCCTCTTTGCCGTTAAAACTGACCTAACTGGGACCTACTCTGTGGCAGGTCTGCCACTATCGGCTAATCTACAACGCTCTATACAGCTGGGCGGACTGACGTGGAGCCCTGGGGCGTTCCAGGAGTCATGTCCGGATACGGGGCCAGCGATTTCCTCAACAACTATTCCATGTATGTTTTAGATATATTCCTGTACACTTGTTTTGATAACTTGATGATTTCATGCCTAACATACGCAAAATTTAAGCATTTCACCTAGCTGGTGTCGAAGCCATGATTGGTCTGTCCCCGTGGTTTTATGCACCCCACATAATTTAGCAAAATTTGATCATTTTTTGCATAATTTCTGATTATTTTCCTTTATCATTCTTTGTTAAAATTAAAATAATCGCATAATTTCACATTTTTGGGCTCAGTTTGCATAAGTTGAGAATTTTTCTTGCATAAAACAACGGGGACAGATTGGTCCCGTGGCCTACTCGTTTTATCATCATCATCATCATCATCATCATCATCATCATCATCATCATCATCATCATCATCATCACCATCATCATATCACCACCTACAACAGCGGTAATACACGTAACAAGAATAATTACACAACATCAACAACAACATCAACAACAACATCATCAACAACAACAACAACAACAACAACAACAACAACAACAACAACAACAACAATAACAACACTGTCTGATTACATGTGTTCTCACAAAAGCTTTATTGTTGTTTTATTTTTTTAAGGTCAGTTGACGAAATGATGGAGGGCAAGCCTTTTCCAGTTCTGATTCCCATCAACCCCTTTCCCAACCCCTTTAGCAAGCAAGAAGAAATTCAGAGCGTAATGCCATCCCACGATGAACTAACAAGGTGAGGAGAAAGACCTCAGACCTTGTCTGGGTGTTGTAGCACTTCTCTTCACAGTGTACACAACAAATTATAGTTATAATCTCACAAATAAAGTCGATTATAAATTGCCTCTGACCGTGAGTCTTCGGCCATGTGCTATCATATTGCATTAGTTAAAGCGTTGTTACTCTTCCTTTTAGTAACGAAATAAACAGTGTGTCCTCGGGTGATTGGGATAAAGCGGAGGCTGACAATACAACGTTGCCGGTACTATCAATCGCGATGCAACCTTTGCAGGGACGCTGATTGCAGTTAAACAAAAACTGCTACATAGGCGTAATATTAATATTATAAGAGTACTATTTGATACAGTTTTTCTGGGCTTAAAAATGAAGAAAATAGGAAACATCTAACCCTATCATGCCACAACCTACCATGTCTTGAGCTATTCGGTAAAGTTATAGAGTAGTTCCAAGTAATGAAGGAGTTATGTTTGATTAAGATCCAGATTTTAATTTTAAAAATTTGTTAATATATTTGTTTGTTTGTCTGTGTGTGTGTTTGTGTGTTTGCTTATTTGTTTAATTGGTTTGGGGGGTTTTTTCTTTGTTTTTTTTTTTTTTTTTGGTAAAGAGAACTACAACAGAACAAATGTCATGTATTGTCGGGAAAAGAAACTAGACAACCAGACAGTAAGAAAATAACAAAAGCAACGAAAACTATCACCGGCATCTTCCAACAATATCGATACATATTTAATTATAAAAATGTACTTTTATGAAGTGGGATAATACAAACTTCAGTGATTTTTTGGTGATCGCTACCACACGCCTCTGGCTTTGAAGTGTCAGTAAATGCACATTACGAAAATTGATTTAAAAAATCAAATATTGATTCAGCGTTCGAATTTCATTACCTCCGGGATATTAAGAGATTCACAGTTTCTATTATATGTTGGGTTTTTTGGTGTCATTCAAGATATGAACTTTCTAAATCAAGTATAAGGCTGCATGATTTAGCTTTAATCTGGCGCGTAAACTTCTTCAACATTACAAGGACTACTTTGCACGTGCGTTTTATTGTCAGCGGGAATTTGTTACAATATATACACCCCTCAACTGTTATAATATGTAGATCTAATTATTTCTGTGGACTTGATATTTTTAAAATGAAAATAGTGTTTGAGTACATTTTTTGTGTCAGTTGGCATCTCTCTAATGATTAAACTTCTCCCTTTTCATCATATGTATGAAATCAGAAACTATCAAAATAGGATGCATAAAATTATAACAATGCACTTCTGTAAAAGAAATCATTAGCATGTTTACTATAGTATTGTCCTGATAACATGAGTAGGTCCTAGAATGAGATATTAAGGTTTGTTGAGTCTGCGAATTAGCTTACGTGCTGAATATAGCCTGTACATGTATTAATTAACAAACTAACTTAATAGTTGTAAATGTCAATCAGCCCTGGCGCAAAAGAGACAAACTTGTGCCCCTGGCCTCGTAAAGGTGAGCCCTTCAGGGCCGACAGATGGCCCAGCAGCAATATAGACAGAGTGGACCTCAGTGATGTCACTTTCCCCCGTCGCTATGCAAGATCTGTCAGTGGAGATTGGATGCGTGAGTCTGTTTTTATTTCTTGTTAAAAAAAATAAATCAATACTGGTGATTTAACGCCCCCATCGACACAATCTTGATTATTCAGGAGACAGGCTACCGACCCTGCTTGGCAAGGCCAACATGAGCTGATAGGGATACAAGGTCCCCGAAGAAAGACTGAGATACTTGATTTTAAAAAAAAAACTAAATAAAAAAAAGAGTCTCCCCACTTGGCAATCGAACTCGAGTGTACTATCTGTGAAAGTAAAGCGCCTAAACACTACAACACAGACATCAGTAACCGTGAATTAGCTCATATAACTATTCGTCTTTCCTTCTTTTTTTATGGTGCGTGCTTTACGACGCTTGCAACTGCATAAAATCATATGAGCGCAAGGGATACCTTAACCTTAAGTAGTTTCGGTGTGGTGGGAATTAATTTTGAATTTTACCCGTGTGGCGACCGAAGCCTACTCTTGCTTATTGATTTTATTTTTAGGACCATCAAGGTAACCCGCTCACAGAATCTCCGAGTTTTTTTCGCCCTTATCCAAGAAGACTAGGTATTAGGCCTATATCTTACCAACCCTAAGATCAGGGGTGTGGCTAAAAGACTAGTAAGAAGGAACCAAGGAGTAGCAGTAGAAAGGCTGCAGAAAGAATCAGGAGCCCAGAGGAGGGGGCAAAATGTGTGTGTGTGGGGGGGGGGGGCAGAAAGTTGAAACGAAGGCAGACGATGGAACATGTTTAGAGACCAGGACAGAAGGAGAAAGGAGAAGGTTCTTAAAAGAAGAACATATTCCGTCTAGTGGCGTCGCGTGGGTTGCAGAAAAGATGGTGCATAATTGGAAAATGAGCAAATGGGCAATAGGCTTAGTAGCTACTATTAAGATTTCTAGAGAAAGTTAATTAGAACCTGCAGGATATCCTGTAATCTGCATCTATCGATATTTACAAGTGTTTCTAGATGAAACCCCATAAAAGCTATAATAAAGTGAAACAATACTAACAACTCACTATGCTCATAATCTGAGAAGATTCAAAGATTTCTAATTACTTATTGCAGCACCAGGACTTGCTGTGCAAAAGAGGGAGACAACGTTTCGATACCCATTCTTCATTGAGTTACCGTAGACTACTAGTTTCTAGATCTAGTGTTGTAGATAGGCTCGCGGAAACTTGGATCAAATTTTTTGCTTGCACCAAATTGGTGCTGCTAAGAGGAGTTTCACGCACCTTTCTTCTTGAGCGGGAAGAACGATGCCTAGATTTCTCTACAGTGACAAAAATAACTTTGGTGCAAAGATTTTGCTGGCTCCAAGCAGACACTACCGCAAGCGGTGCGGCGAGCATAAATCATCTTCCCCGTCTGTCTCTTCACTGGCGCAATCAGCGGGTGACGGATCGCAAGGATGTGGTAATGCAGATCTGGAGCACTGACTGGTTTATAACAATTAGAAGGGGGGGGGGAGGGAGGGGTGACGGCCAGGGTAAGGTGGAGCGCTTGCACCAATGGCGCTCCGCCATTGGTTCCGTCCCTGTCGGGTTTCGAACCCGAGACCTATTGAATGAGAGGCAAACACCGTACCTCTGGACCACGAGAGCCTCTAACGTCTATGCGTCCAAGTTTTATTGTCTATCAACAAAATTAGTAAAGGTAAGATAGAGTTTGAGAGTATTTCACCTTGACATTTACATGATTGTACGTCACTCTTGATTTCCTCAGACAACTGGGCAGAAAACATGTACAGACTCAATTACATGGGCTGATTTTTGCATTGACTTAAAGTCAGCGCTGTGCCCAAGGCTAAAGCTAATGTGGATTCAAAAACGACGTTCTCGTTGTCCCCCTATAATAATAAATGTTGTTCCACAAATAATAAAACTCAATAAATATGCTTTATCAATCAGGAAAAAAACAGGTGTTTTGTTTGTGTATGCCAGGGTAGGTGTATACATGATTTATAACTGTGTGAGTGAGTGTGGATTCTATGTGTGTTTGTATGTGCATGTGTGTGTGCATGTGTGCGGTTGTGTGTGTGTGTGTGTGTGAGTGTGTGTGTGTGTGTGTGTGTGTGTGTGTGTGTGTGTGTGTGTGTGTGTGTGTGTGTGCGTGCGCGCGCGCGCTGACGCGCTGCAGTATTACGCCCTAATCAGCAGCGAATAGGTATTTTCGAAAACGGAACCCCGGTTCCCCAGAAAGCGATTTCAATCCATTCGAATCTTGAATATGAGCAAACTGTAGTTGTGTTGTAGGGGCCAAATAGCAAGTCATGTCCAACTCAGCTAACACGGATCTGATTGTACCACCCTGCAAGGTCACCGCTGGCAAATGTCTCATTTTTTACCAGCTACGGTATCTGTCATCACAGGGTAATTCTTTCCTGTCCTCACGGTGAGATCAAAGTCTTATCTTACCAAGTGTTTTACGACACTTAAAACACAAATAGGTCATATTCATACGCTCTGAAGATTAGAGGTGTTACTAGAGAGTAATATAAAAGGAAAGGAGGAGAGATAAGATTAAGACGGATAGCTGCTAGGTATATTAAAGAAAGCAGGACGAAACCACACCAGAACAGCCGCCAACCACCCATAGCTAAGAAGTAGCAATAACTCAGTCAAGCACAGGCTCTAGTGAGACTGTTTTATTACAGCAGAACTTACCTTTTGTGTGTACTGCTGACAGTGACGTAAACCAAACAGGCCCAGAGATCCTGTGAAAAAGATGGGGCAATAATGCATCCAAAAACTGTATTATCCGTCCTCTTGACCAAAATTATAACGGAATAACAGTAAATATTATGAAAAGATTTCCAGATGTTTTCCAAAGAATGCAAGGGAAGAAAAGAAAGATTATCGTATTTTCGACACATCGTGAGATGAACTGCAGAGACCCTTCATAAAAGGCACCAAAGCAAAGAGCAACAATTCCTCAACAGTGGGATACAGTATGGGTCTAAGCCTATCATGTTATTCTTTGTGTCAAGCTTGATGAATCACGCCTACCAAAAAAGCAAATCTATGACTTAATACGGAGATTAGTAGCTCTTTATATACATTTATGAAGAAACATTTTATATTCTACAATCAATTGTTCTGGAAAAATATGATACAGTTAAGACAAATTGATACATGTAATAAGTGCTGTGCAAAGTATGGGTAAAAATGATTCACCCGTTTAAGAGATATTTGAGGATAAGTTAGGCCACACATTTTTACATCACTCTATAGCTTTGTTCAAAATCGTCTGTCCGCAAATTATTAGATCTAGCCCTTTTATTGATTTGCCAGTGCGTAGGCTATAAACTATAAAACGTGCATGGGACTCTCGTAGCCAAGAGACCAAACAAAAACATTTTAAAAGATATTGATCCAGTAATAAGCAAGTTTCTCTATGTAGGCCCCATTCTAAACAAAGCCCTTAGGGTGCAAACAAAGTGCCACTACAATAAAAGATTATAATTACTGAGACCAAGCCTACCAGGGCCTTGACAGACGAGCTAAACTCGCACAAAAAAGTCAAGGAACAAAAATTCAAAGAAAGATAACTGAAGAACAGCGTAGCCCAATTTTATTCATTTTTTCAAAAAAGATGCTTTGATCGACTCTCTAGATTAAGTGTGTACAATTTCAGATTTCAACAACAACGAGAAGTTCGTGTAAAATGAGTTTAAATCACACTGGTCGGATTTCAAAAGTCTGAACAGCCATAGTTCTTCATGAACTTTGTCAATAGTGGGTGTGGTCACCTCGTTCAACCAAACACTTAGTACAGCGTCGACGTATGGATAGGACATGCCTTCGGAGAACTTGTGGCGGTAGGTTCTGCCACTCCTGGACGAGGCAGCGGAAGGGATGTTGAAGGTTTTGTGCAGGAGGGTGGTTGTCCCTTATCCACCTGTCAATGTGACCCCAAATGTTCTCTATTTGGTTCAAATCCGGACTACAAACTGGTCAGTCCATGCGGGTGACTGCTTGCTACTGCAGGAAGTCCCCCGCAATGCGTGCTCGATGTGGCGCGGCGTTGTCGTCCTGCAGTACATCCTGGAGTCCAATCTGCTGCAGGAGAATAACAACAAGGGGACGCAGGATTTCCTCCCTGTACCTTGCCGCGGTAAAATTGCCCTGTATATGGTACAGGGGGTCTTGTGGTTAGCTGAGAAGCCTCCCCACACCAGAACGGACCCTCCACCGTTGGGCGCCACCCGCTGGATACACTCAGGGTGGAACAGCTCTCCCCGGCACCTCCAGACGTGGGCTCGCCTGTCTGGGTGCAGCAAGTTGAATCTGGATTCGTCCGAGAAGACTACCTGGTATCACTGACATCGTGTCCACTGTGAATGGCGAGCAGACCACACCCGGCGAGCTGCTACGTGGGGCGGTGTGTGCCTTGGGCGCCTGCAGGGACACAAGAAGCGAACTTGGCTCTACGGATATGGTTCCTTACCGTCTCCTCGCTCTCGTGGACATTTGCTGTCACCCGTAGTTGGTCCTTGATGTGGTTTGTAGTGGTGGTTCGTGACGTCACGGCCCGTCTAACGATGAACCGGTCGATGCTGTTGTTGGTGAAACGGCGTGGCCCTGGTTGAGGTCTGTCCTGGACCCTTCCGGTCGGTCGCCATCGTTCTTGCAGCCTCTATATGACTGATGGGGACACCCCAAATCGATATGCAACAACTGGAAACGTAGAGCTATCTTTGAGCCAGGCAAGGGCTCGTCCTCTGTCGACGTCAGGCAGCGAGCGTCGTTGGATCATCGTGTTGTAATGAAACATGGCTGAAAAACGCTGGCTTATAAAGGGTTGTAAATGAGCAATATTCCCAGCTACGACATCTGTTTAACACGTGCCAATCTTAGTTTTAGCCAACAGTCACTATGCCAATGTTGCTGAAGCAGAGAAATTTAGCCAATTTTTCAAGCTTTTCGACTGTATTTCAGAATGCCTTGCTCCGTCGCCGTGGAGCTAGTGCCGACAAATTTGCTGTACAGGCAAACTGTTGTCTAGTCGTCAGTGCGCGTGCCAAGTTTGGTTGACTGAACTTAACGGGTTTGTGAGATATTGAAGTTAAAATTTGACAGGTGAAAACACAAGTTGTTCTTTGACTTTTTTGGGCAAGTTTACAATTGTCGCGTGGTAAATTCTGCGTAGAAAGTGTCGCTTACTTTTGTGTGGCAGCCACACGGGGCAACACGTAACTGCTCAGTTCAGTATGGAGAGTCAGGATGGCTTTGGTCCAGGGGGGAATATTGTCGTGTTGAATGAGAAGCGAGAAAATAACGCACATATTGTAGGAATGCGCCGGCAGTTGAGTCATTTTTTTTTATTCACATTTTAGATTCTCATTTTTTCAAAAAATAAATTTTTATGAAAAGTTTCGAAATAATATTGATGAAATGAATCAACCATCTATAGACATAAATGTGACATTTCTGAGCTTAATTACGTCAAATTAGAGCGTCAAGGCAACTTTTGGGCTAGAGTCCTAGTAAAACGTTCTCTCCTGTCACCAACAGAAATCATAGAGCTGTGTTACTGGAATAGGTTTTGGGGGGTTAAAGCACTATATGTTGGTGAAACTAGGTCTATTCATCAGGAAAATAATAAAACAGCACTTCAGTTTAACAATCAGCGCAAAATTATTTCGGATTTAAGTATCAAATTTAAAAATCAGTGAAAATTTTAGAGTTTCAGTTGGTGATTCTCACTCTAAGATCTAACACATTGTGATCATATGAACTTCTATTCCTTTTAGCAGTAAGGTGAAGCTAATCCCACACTTACTTTTTAAAAACAAAGTTCAAGATTTTTTTAATGAACGTATAAAGGGGTGGTAACAGGAGGGAAACGTGCGTAACAGGAGAGAAAGTGGGTATCACTAGTATCAGGAGGGAACATAAAAGACTGTTATCAGGTTCTAACAACAAAACTCATCAAGAATGAAACGATATCATCTAAAGGAATAAGCGAAGAATGGACGGGAATGTTGAAAGCATGTAACATATTCTGTCGAGACGTTATTTACTGGGTGTAGTTAGTTACCAATGTAAAAGAACGAAGGCATCAAACAATAATTGGGCGTCGAAACGAAATACATCGAGAGAACGTTTTGGACACGTAATGGCAATAGGGCCACAACTGCCAACCTCAAAGGTCTACAAGATGCGATTCGATGGCTTGGGAGCAAAAGGAAGGCTAATAAAAAGATGGATCGATGGAGTCAAAGACATCCTTCAAAGGCACACTATGCCGATCCGAAAAGCAACACACTGGCCCATGTCCGAGAACTGAATCTCTCCTCGACACCACGCAGTTTAAGAGATTATTATAATGTAACATAAGAGTATAGTGTAGTGTAGACAGCAGATTTTGCAAATCCCCAACGTGTGTGCTTTGTATTTCCTCTTCCATTTTACTCAAACAATTTTGAGCGACGTTAGCATATTGTACTCTTGCTTCCTTGGCTTGAAGGTTGCTCCATGTCTTTCCTTAAACTGATGGTCAATATTAGAATCGTATAACTTGTACTGTCGAAACGTTTTCTGGAATAATAAAGCCCACAATGGCATCAGCCTCCCAGTTTCTGTTCTATTCTTAGTGATTCTTATTTTCTTCTGTTCACCGTTCGGGATTTCTATTTTCTTTCCTTACTACCCATTTCTGTCACGTTGCAGTGAGTCTCATGTCTTCAGAGTATGCTAGGATTGGATCCTTTTACTTTGCTTCATCCTTCCTCTTGCATCATTAGATGTTGGGGAGGGGGGGGGGGTACCATTTTCAACCAAGGGCAGTGTAGGTGGCTTCTGTTGTTGAAATGTTATTCTTTTGGAGGACCTCTATAACGCTATCCAGCCACGTTTTGCGTGGTCTGCACCTGCCCTTGTATCCGGACATATTAGAGTTGTAAGCTTGTGAAGCTGAGTGAATAATATGGTGACACTCTCATCAGATGACCAAACCACTTCATTCTTTGATGTTCTTGTTCCATAACCGGTTTATTCCCTGTCGAATTTCGTTTATCAGTCTTTTGTCTTCCTGTTTTATGTCGTAAGTCAGTGTTGGAAGGAATATGCTGTGAATAATTCGTTGTCTTTTTTCTTCCATTGGTAGGTTTTTATGGGTGAGTAGTGCTGACTATTTATAGGTTTCTGCAATTGCTTTTGGGTCCTGATTTCAATTTTCCTATGTCCAATCTTCCGTCATGTGTAAGCATGCTCCCAAGCTATTTAAATTCCTCAACTTGTTTAAGTTGTGTCCCGTCGATGGTGATGTTTAGTAGTGGGACTGGGTTTCTCTGATCACACGATCCATGCATGCATGTTTTGGCCAAACTTGAGCAGGAATAACCTTCAGATGAACACGATGCATAAACAATGCGTCAGCTATCAACTCTGAGTTGTCACAAATCTTGCACGCACAAGTTGTTTGATCTGGTTATTAAAAATTAAATACTGTGTATAACTGTGAAATATTTAATCCCTGGTGCCATGATTTTTATCCCTAAGAATGTTTTAAAAAACATATACGTGTTGCGGAACTTGCCATTTTTTGCCTACTGAGCAAGATTTACCAAAAAGCTGTAAAATTTCTATGACTTGGTCAGTTTTGAAAACTTGATTTTAAGGTCAAGGAACGTTTTGCCTTGTTCATGAACATGTGAGTCAAAGGCAATTCTAAGCAATATTTTTGGTATCCAAGGAATTAGGTCTGGAATCACAAATTAAAAAAATGTGACATTTTTTTTTTTAATGACTCATATATACATGATGTACTTACTACCCGTTACGCCATCTGACGTTTAGGACAGCAACAAAGGATCTCCAGCTCTGTCTGTTTTGGGACATCTTGGTCTACGTCCCCCACGAATGGTTCCAGGACTTCATTTCAGACTCTACTGTGCGTCTTCAGGTCACTTTGGGTCTGCCCCTCTTGCGATGTCCTTCGGGTGTCCAGTGGAGGGCAGTCTTCAAAATAGTCTTGTTCTCTTCTCAGAACTTGTCCAATCCATCTCCATCTTCTCCTTTTTATTGCGGTGGTTATGTCCTCTTGCATACATTTTCGTAACAGACCTGCGTTGAAAATCTTGTCGGGCCAGGTTGTATGAAAGGAAGTTGTAGTCAGTAGTAAATGTACTCCGTTGTACCGCCAACAAACTGGCCGCCACAGCACATCCACTCGATGGTTGCTTGATAATATTTTACACCGAACCTAGATCAAACGCTTTTCGCCGATTTGCTCCCTTCCCGCCCATCCCTGTCCAGTACACGGGCAATAGGCCTATGGACTGATCCAGTGTTGCAGTGTGTCGCAAACGAACACAATGTGTATTGTAGAAGCGTACAATTAAAATAAAACATACATTTGTAATTCCGCATCATAATATTTTGCTCCCTGCGTTAACCGACTAAATTTGAGGCGCTCATTAGGAAAATGATATTATTATTAGACCTCCATCAATATTTTTTTTTTTAAATCGGATTTGGATTTTTAACTTATTTAAGTCGCCTGGAGCGACTTTATGTGAATTCCGCCATCCGCCCCCCCCCCCCCCCCCCCATTTCCCCGGGCAAAATATGGCAAAAAATCAGCCCAATAATTTACAGGCTGGCTTAAGCTCGTGGGGCTTTTATTTAGTGAGGGTTCACGCTCAAGTTTAAGTGACAGATCGAAGGGAGATAACTCATTTCTCAATTTAGTGGTTGGTAAACAGGTTTCACTGACGTTGGGCAGTCGACGCTCCATATTTGACAGGGGGCAAGAAAAAGGTTTACCATTACAACAATTCAGTGAGCTGACAGATTGAACATTGTAAATGATTCATTTGTACAAAAATACAATTTTCAGTACAGTGTGTTTAGAGTGCTGAATAGTTCAATCATCATGCCAGCCATGGCCAGCATAAAATGTAGCACTCCAGCATAATTAATAATATAGAAAAAGATACTCCAAAAACCTCCTGCTCCAGCAAGGAACCAACCTCATGTAATCTCCACGTGAAGCGCATAACCATTACTGTAAATCAAACTGCAGATGTCCTGGCTCTGGCATTTGACCAATAACTCTATCAATGCTGCATTCACAGTGCCAGAAACTTTCTGCGACATATAATAGGCCCACTTGTTAAGGCTGAAACGTCATTAAAATATCATAATGTGTTACGGTTTCGAAACTTATATCACCACATCAGTTTGTAGTGGTAAGGGAAGGTGCGTCGACACAGCAATGGCCAACATATCATGTAACATGTTAATCTATTTTTTTTTAAAATGTAGGTGCTTTTAAGCCCACATCAGCACAAAAAACATTTAGGAGGCAGGCTTTAAACCTTCCTGTCACTGCCTGTCAGGGTCAATCAGGGCTGACATGGATCCAACATGCCAGCAGAAAGGGAATCGAACTCGTTTCTTCTGCTTCAGACAGTGAAACACCAAATGGCTACACCACAGACACTGGTAGTTTGACTGTATTATATGGATGGTATAAAAAAAATAATTTATCATTTCAAAAGCTGCTAATTACGAGCAATGCCATCTGACAGCATGCTCGTATTGGATATGTATACCATGATACATATATATTGGAAATACACTCCAATTGTGCAAAATCATATTTACCATACATAATATGGTCGCTTTTAAGGACAAGTGGGCTAACCAAGATTTTGGGGGTTTCCAGAAATCTTCACCTACACAAAAAGTGGGCATTGCCCTACCTATAGGAGAAGTTTGGTTTCATTGGTGTGTATATTTGTTTGGTTAAATAGAAAACTCTCCTTGTCCTTTTAAGAAAGCTGAACAAAGGTTCAAAAACCTTTACCTAAGATTTTCTCAAAATAACATTTTTCAGGATAGCCCCCTTGTGCTTAACACGACCATATTGACATTAAACTATTGGATGACTACATGACATGTATGTTGTTTCACTCAGTGAAAGCAGCATGCTTGGTTGGACACCTCTTGAAACAAACAGTAAAGGTTAGAGAAGCAAAACCACGCTTGAAGTTTCTTTCTGTTCAGCATATGCAGTTGTAGTCCATGTAGGTCAAATATACCCCCCCCCCCCACTGCCCATACACACAAAAGACGGACATACATTTGTCACTTGTGTACATATTATTACTAGGGCAATGGGTCCAACTGAATTCTTTCCATATGAGAAAACAATTCCTACTCCTGTCTAGAGTAAAGTCTGACTTTCTAAGGCAGTTGAGCCTGCTCAATAAGAAAAACAACACATAGTCAATTTGTTGTGCGTCTTCAATTCCATTCTCCTTTCAAAATGGAATGTGTGTTCTACTTTATACAGAATCGTTGGGGACTGGAGATAGTGTTCGAGATATCCGTATTTTGTCATGTCCGTGAAAGCCCCAAAATACAAAGAAATAGAAAATCAAGAGAGGTAGAAAAAAGAACATTAACACAATTAATGTGGTTAGCTCCCTTGATGAATGTGTTGACGGTATGAAAGCAAGAAGATGAATGAAAGTGGAAAGCAGAGAATGTTACCTGTGCACAGCCAACTCCTACATCATTCTTTTCCTCTCATTTCATTCACTTACAGAAAGTTACGCCTCTTGCCACCCGCACCGCATTCATCCAACAGCATGATTGCACACATGGCGAGCCTGTCATGCGGTGTGGACAGCATTACCCCCCAACCCCCTTTCCCTGTCCCCCCTTCCTCCAGCTTCTCGTGGTGAGACAAGGACCACATTTTGGCTGTAACAATAATAAAGAAACAACTACCCGAACCAGAAAGGCTGTACAGCAGGGTTTTTAGTTGAGAAGGCAAAGTGGATTTGTTCGAAATACGAGGGTTGCATGTTCGGGTCCTCCATGAAGTCAATACAAAGAAAACATTGGGACTGAAACGGGACCAAGCATTATGTTCGAGATACCCGAGAATTCATATTTATACAAAAAAAACGACTGAAACAAGAACTTGGATGTCATTTGTACTAACAAGAAGTTTGACATCTTTTAGAGAAACATTCCTTGCAGGACACTAAGCTGACAGGGAGGATTTTCACTGTGAACCTGTGATGTATTATACTAAATACTTAAAAATGCAACAAATCACAGTAATATGCTCGATGTCATCACATTTATTTCAAGTCGAAAACATCAACCCAGCATGGCAACCAATGGGGTCCATAAATCTATATATGAGGACTACATTTCACATTCAATCAATCCTCTCATATCCATACAGGTATATACACACACGGACATTACACTCTACTTCCAACTTCATTGTAAACTAAAGAAAAAAACAATGACTTTTAGTAATAAAGTAATGAAAGTCATCCAAAAAGAAAACCTCCATTTTTTATACTAAAAGTGACAGAATTTGCAATGCAGAAATTTTCAAGTCCAGGATCATATTTCGAAAAGTTCATTGCTTTTTCAGAGCATGTAGAATGAAATGACTGCTTTGAAATTAATAATAATAATTATGAAAAAAAAAAATTCAGCATATAAACTAGACAACTATCCTGGCTCAATCTTGGCCTTCGTAGAACTTTGAGAGAAAATCTGCTGGCTTAGGGTTGACTGTGTCCTGGAAAAACATCATAATGTGATTCCTCTGTTTCCAGATATTGGCAGTTTCCACAAGGTCCATCTGGCCCTGGTAGATGACATGATAAGGTGATTCAGTCTAATGTTATAAAAATATAATGAATACAAGAGTGTAGTGGCAAAACAAAACAAATTCATGAGATAACTTTGTTCCTGTAGTAAAAATAAGCAAAATACCCAAAATCTGGGAGAGAACATAAGATTTTTAAAATACTGCAGTCACAAGCAATTGGAAATGATCAATTACCACATTACCAAAAGGCAGATAAACATCCATCACAGAAAATGAAGACGGAAAGAAAAAACCCCAAAAAAACAAGACAGTATAATACTATATCCCCTCCGAGACAGCTCCCATACACCATATGTCGAACATTGTGAGTCAAGGTGCAGTCCTCCAATACAATATATAAAACATTCTAAAATGCACCATTGGCATCTAATATCTGTTCTTTTTAGATTACAACAGAGTTAAACAAAACTTTATTGACAAATGAAAGATTAAAAATTTGAGATAATGAAAATGTGATAACCAAGTAAGTAAATCTTTAACTTTAATTCTGAAAAAGGGACAGCAAAATAATGACTTAACTATCCCATCGACCTGGCAAGCCAAAATTGGGGGCAGAAAAATCTGTAAAAATTCCCCTACGTCACTGAGGGGTTGAGTTTAGTTAACTAAACAGATTATTATCATAACCTTGACTATTGGAACAATAGTCAACACAGCTTTGAACAAATGAAGGATACTTTGGAATCTTAGATACTAATCAAACTGGCGTTGAATTTACCGCTATATCACTGTCTGTGGACACTCTGTGTACTTAGTGGCATTTACAAAAAAATCATGTTAACATGAAAGGATTTCAAATCGCAATCTATTCCACTCTTTATAAATTATTTGATGCAATGCAACAATTTTTAAAGAATTCAGCAGATATGGTAAACATTATTTTGGGCCATTTCATCATTCCGCTGTGCTGACTCTCTCCCTTTCTTTTTAAAAAATTTGCTTACAGTACCCCCACCGATATTTCTTCCCACACTGGTGAAGACTTGAGTAGTGTGACTGCAGAATAATTTGATTTTCATGACCAGTGCCTTTTAAAAAATATAATATTAATATATGTGTCATGACGTGGTGAAATCAGGCACTCGTCAATTTTGGGGCATATATGGAGTTAGTTATTTGTAAAATCTTAAAGCCTGTCCATTTGCCTTACTTCTGACGAAAAAAATATCAAATTATTTTGGATGCAATTCAAGATATTTGCGATTGAAGGAGGTGGGGGTCGCCTGGCTTCAGATGTAAAATTAGCGAGAAAATGGCCACCAAAGTCGAGTTATTTCCTTAGCTTGAGAGTCCTCGGAAACTAAAAATTTTAATCTTTTATGCCTTTAAACCTATCCGAACGTCGTGTTTTACTATCGTATCTATACGATGTGGGAAATTCTGTGCCACCACTTTCCAAAGAGGAAATTTACTTGCTAATCCGATCCGTACGCTTTGCATAGCAGTCTGTCCAAATGATTTTTTGAGAAATACTGAACGTTTCAAAGAGATCTTCGTACTAGAAGTATTCTAAAATGTGAAGAATACAACCTCCGGGGTACAAAATGACCCCAGGGCGTACGGATAGGGTTAATCAAGGTTTTTCATTAAATCCACATTGAAAAGTGTTCGAAAAAGGGCATGGAAGGAGTTGAGCCAAAAAACAGAAATTCGATACAAATTCCCAAACCTGCGGAAAAATGCCAATTTCTTGACTTTCATTATTTTGCCGAACGCCTGATATCACCACGCTGCCTCTCATTGCAATGATCAAGATTCTTTACAAATGATTAATTCCGAGGCAGACATTGAACAACACTTTTTTCATCTATCATGAAGAAAAGGTGAAGTACTTACCTTTATCACCAGCATATCGATAGCTCTCACATCTGAAACATGCTTGTTCTTCAAGAACATTTCCCTCACTTTGGCACGGCCTTGCTCAACAGTCACCGGTATATGAAAGTCTTTCACTGCAACAAGAAAACATTTTGTATGAACATAAAAATCAAGGAAAAATGAATCCTCAATGCTAAATGAAAGAGAACCATACACTAAGCAAATGTCATGCTCATACTGTGCCGAACAACATAGGGGAACTGCTGCTTTTTCTTCCCTCATCCTTACTATCGTCACTTTTACTCTACTTCTTTTGTATGTTTGTCACTCTCTTGGAAACTGCTATTTCCGGGTTGTCTAGAGTCAAAGTAGACTTTGTGCAAGCCAGATTCCCCATTTGGACTTCTCTGTTGACATCCACCCCTAGGCGCTCATATGACCTAGTGCAGTTGCAAGCGCCGTAAAACCCTACTACAACTAAAACTAAGAGAGATGAAAGTTGAACACACCACATGCTAAACACAGGTCAGTATGCCTAGACTATAGTGAGGTGTGCTGACAAAATGAGTTAAATAAAACCTTCTTGCAATCCACAAATGAAAATACTGTACGGAAATAGACACTAGATCTAGGGTCAAAAGTTTAGATTTTCAATTGATGTCATTTTTTTCAAGCATATCTTTTATTACTTCATATTTATTGTGCAAACACCTAAAAAATTTGACATGTCTGGAATTGTGGTGAAACCAGACACTGGTCAAGATCATGAAATAAAAGAAACCAGCAATCTACACCTCTGGAAATATCAAGGTTTTTCATATAACATAAAACAAACACACAATACACATGTGAGGAAGCAAGGTGAAATCAAACGCTCGTCAAAATAATGAAATTGCAGAAACGCGCATTTTTCTGCCAGTTTAGAAAATGTTATTGCACTTTTGTTTTTGGCTTAATTTAAAACACCACAGTTGTCCAATTAAGAACATGTTTCTGGGTGGGTTTTACTGGAAAACGATTAACTCATTCAATCCCATGACTGAGATATCTCGGTCAGCTCGTAGGCTGCATTCAATCCCATGACCGAGATAATTCGGTTCTACAGTTTTGTTTCGTATACTAGTTATTTCGTTTCGGAAAACGGCCTCAAGTTTTTTATGTAAGGTCAGTTTATTATTTTCTCAGGCAATTCTGCCTTGGGAGAGCTGTAATTTTGTTTCTACTGTCATTACACACAGAGAAATCGCGATTTTTATAAAGGAACTTTCAGTACTTTTGCTCACAGCTGAGCATGTCTCGCAATTGATTCTCTCAGCCTTTCTCACACATGCATTTTTTTTTAATTCATGAAAGTATTCAACAGTCTTTATTATACATGGCATACAATATATAGACTTACACACTCACAAGCATACTATTATATTTGAATATCAATGTAGGCTTGCTCTTGCTCATTCAGTCATGAAATAAAATTATATAAGCCCTCAAAAAGGCCAAAATTGTACAACACTTCAAAGCAAAACTACTAAGGCTATATATTTCAAATTTGGTAGGTCGAAAGATCCATCTTAGGTTGCTCTTTGTGCCAAATTTCAAAGCAATAGATAATACATTTATTGTTTAATAGTTGGCCCTCATAAAAGTGCCAAAACGACCGGTTTCTAGTAACAATTTCAGGAAAAACTCCCAGAATTGAGAGAGTTAAAGGCACAAAAAATGTAAGTTTTCAGTTTCCACGGACTATCAAGCTATGGAAATAACCGCACTTTGGCGGCAATTTTCTCACTAATTCTACCTTGAAACTAGGTGACCTCACCTTCTTCAATTTCAAATATCTCAACTTCTATTCAAGATAGATGGGTTTTTGTCACCGACAGGAAGACAAATGTGTCACGACGCGGTGGAACCAGGTGCTCGTCAATTTTGGGGCATACGGAGATATTGTTATCATCTTAAAGCTTGTTCATTCATTTTGCTTTCAGTGAAAAAATTAACAATCTATCTTTATTAGAAGTCGAGATATTTGCAATTGAAAGAGGTGGGGTTAGCCTGGTTTCGGAGGTAAAAGTAGAGAGAAAATAGCCGCCAAAGCTTGATGATTTCCATAGCTGAAGAGCTCTGGGGAAACTGAATATTTACATTTTTTCGCCTTTACTCAACCTTTTTCAGTAAAATTCACACATGTGTTTTTAAAGGGACATGAAAGATATTTAACCAAAAGACAAAATTTGATAAAAATGACCAAACACACTGAAAATCACCTGTTTCTTCATTATTTTGACGAGCGCCTGACTTCACCACACTGCCTCACAAAAGAACAAGCTTTAAAATGATATCAATAACTCTACATGGGCCAAAAATAGACGAGCGCCTGATTCCACTGGGTCGTGACCCATAAGCATATATATATATAAATTTCGAGTTATATGTTTCATCTTAAAGGTTGTTCACTTGCCTTGTTTTCAATGAAAAAAATATCAATTTATCATGAATAGAAGTCGAGATATTTGCAATTGAAGTAGGTGGGGTCGTCTGGATTCAGAGGTTAAATTAGTGAGAAAATGGCCACCAAAGTTTGGTGACTTCCATAGTTTTAAGAGTTCTTGGAAACTGCAAATTTGATTTTATTGTGCCTTTAATCAATGTTTTTCCATGAAATCCACAATACAGTACTTTTGAATTGACATACAAGGTGTGGAGCCAAAAAAAAAAAAAATTTGTAACAAAATTCCAAACTGGCTGAAAAATGCCGATTTCCAGGATTCATTATTTTGACAAGCCCCTGATTTCACCACGATGCCTCACATATAATATAATGTGTATTTTTTAAAAATTCGGACATAAAAAGTATCAATTATCAAGCATCATCTCCCCCCCCCCCCACTCCCAAATTCGATCAAAATTGATAACGGATGTAAAAGTAATCAATGTATTCGATTTTATCATTTTCATGCGCACCTTATTTCACTCAGACGCTACAATGTTTTCAAAAGAGAAAGTCACCAATTCCCAAGGCCCAAGACTAAGGAGACATCATGAGGGCTTTGTCAAAAAAAGGAAGGAATTCTGTAAAAGTAAAGAGCAACCACTATGAAATCTAGACGTTAATAATCAATTGCCACGATTAGAGATAGGGCTAGGGTCAGGGCAACTAAACTATAATTACGCTAGGTCTAAGTTTGGGTTGAGGATTAGAGTAAGTGTTAGCCTAGGATTATAATCTGGATCAAAGTGGTCGTTCCTTAGGCAAGTTCTTCCCACAAAAACTGTTTAAAAATATTAGAGGTATTTCTATTCACTCCCGTCTCGCTTCAAATCCACTACCGGAAGTCAGCTCCTTCACCACTTTGGACAACGAATAAGGTCAGTTTTAGTTTTAGTTTTAACTGTTCCGGCTTAGTTTTAGGCTTTTTTATATTTTTTATACAAGATGACTTTTGTGGTCATGAGGGGGGTTTCAGGGGGTCCCCCCCACTGATGAGCGAGTACATAACAGCTGTGTACTAGGCGGGGTAGAGAAATGCCCCCCCCCCCCCAAACCCCTGAAATAATATCATATGCCGTAACATCTAAAAGAACCATTTGCCACGCTTTTTAACGCCAAGATCATGTTCAGGGCTCTAAAAAAACCTCTATAAAAAGCTACAAAATAACACCCTTTATAAGACAGGAGTGATTCTATAAAATATAAATGTACGAAATATATGCCCAGTCCAAGGCCTAAATAGAATTTGAGCCTTATTTTCTGGTACAATGTCGTATTGTGTGTGCGTGTGTTGTGCGCCTAGCTCACCTAGTGATTGGCCCAAATATAGATGACGTACTTCCGCCATCTATTTTTGCTATCTTCTGGAGTTTCCCCCGAGACTCTTAGGTTTCCCTCGCCAGTAATTGTTGACTAGATCTCATCGTGTTTGTTTTTTAAAAATTAATCTGTATATAACCTTACCTTCTCCTCAAAGTTGTATACACACACACAAGCACGTGCACACGTACAAACACACACACACAGTCCAAAGCCAGCCCACCACAGTGAGATCTAGATCTAGTCAACTGGTGAGGGAAGCTCCGAAAGACGACAAAAATAGATGGCGGAAATATGTCATCTATATTTGGGCCAATCACAGAGGTGTGCTAGGTGCTCGCTGCAGCTTCAAGTCACTGAAACTATGGTGAGTTCCGAAATCGGAGACGCCCTGTCTCACACCTTTCAACTTGTTAAGTTGAGAACCAATGTACAGGCACAAACAAGCACTGGCAATATTTCATGTCCAGAGCAGGTATAGAACCAACAGAAGTTTGAGAGGAATTCCGTAACGAGCGACCACTATGAAAGAAAGTAGATCTAGAATAGAGGGTTAGGGTTAGGGGGGTCGGGGTACCGTCATAAATTATAAGGCATGGCGGTAGGGGTAGATTTTCTAAATCTAGGGGTTGGGTCAGGGTTAGACCGTAAAGTCTTGGAAGAGGCTAGCCGTACTTAATGACGGCTAGACAGCTGGGCTAGCCGTACTTATATTCTTAATATCATGGCTAGACTGACCATAAAAAAGGCCTACTGAATAGTATAAATTTTTAGTTTGCAGTACCTAAAGTATTTGTATTCCAAAACCAAAAGGTGCCTGCCTTACTGATTTGCATTATTTAAACCTGAATAACTACTAGATCTAGATATCTAGATCTAATGAGACCTGTGTACTCAACAGGTTTGAGTCGATAGGGCGAAACCTAGATCTAAGTACCGCTAGACTGGCAGTCTAGCCATACACTTTCAAGTACGGCTAG